TCTTATTCTGCAATTCACTGGACTGTTGGGAAAATGTAGACTAAATTTGTAATAATTCAGTTTTGCTAACATGTGTAAAATACTATCATTCGGGTGCCTAGTTTGAAGGTTTGGTGCAGTTATAATTTCTGATTATTTATAATTATAATTCTCTCTATCATATCAAGCTTCTCACTCCAATTCACCTCCCCTCAATATCATGTCCTTCCAACAGCCAGCCAGATTTAAATGCCTTCCAGCCCATCAATCTCAATTGTCTGTCCTTCCAATCGTGTTGGCCAAATTTTAAACTCCTTTTAAACTTATTGACCTCTTCACCCCACTTCTTTTTCCCCCATTTTCTTCCCATAGATTCCTGTCTTTCTAACACCAGCATCCAGATTTTATACTCTTTCCAGACTATGTCTAAATCTCTTGTCCTTCCAATAATGCCAGCTAGAAAATTGAGATAGATGGACTGTAAATAGGTTTAAAAGCTGGCTGGCACTATTAGAAGGACAGGAGCTGGAGATTGAAGGGTTGGAAAGGAATTTAAGATCTGGACGGTCCTATTGGAAGGACATAGATGAGACATAGATGAGAAGGAAGGGAATTAGGGCAACGAGGTCAATGGGCTGGAAAGGGATTTAAAATTTGGATGAATGTCTGAAGCTTTTTTAAAGAAGAGATTAAGTGGTGTGGTAGTTGAGTGTATTTGTACAAGACCTAGGCCCCATCTACACTGCCATATAAATTCCAGATTGTCTGCTTTGAACTGGATTATATAGCAGTGTAGAAGGAGCCCTGGACATTCACACTCCTCAGAAGAAGAGTTTCTTCTGAGGAGTGCATCCAGTATTTCTGTGTCTAGACCAGGCATGGGCAAACTTCGACCCTCTGGGTGTTTTGGACTCCAACTCCCACCATTCCTAATAGCCTCAGGCCCCTTCCTTTTCCCCCTCAGCTGCTTAATCAAATGTGTCATCGACTTGGTTTTTTTTTTTTTCATGTCAGGAGTGACTTGAGAAACTGCAAGTCGCTTCTGGTGTGAGGAAATTGGTCATCTGCAAAGATGTTGCTCAGGGGACATCCGGATGTTTGATGTTTTTACCTTCTCTCATGTCCCTGCATGGGGAGCTGGAGCTGATAGAGGGAGCTCAACCTGCTCTCCCCAGATTTGAACTGCTGACCTGTCGGTCAACAGTCCTGCCGGCACAAAGGTTTAACCCATTGTGCCACTGGGGGCTCCCATAATTGGTTATTGAGTGTCCCTTTTGAGTAAGTGATTCCCAACCTTTTATTGACCAGGGATCACTTTGATTTTGTTTGTTGTTGTTAGCAGGGACCACAAGGTTCAAGAATAATAAGCTGTATTAATCTGAAAGTAAACTTGAATCAAAACTTTTAACATATAAGTTAAACTCAATAGTAACATGAATTAAGAGTACTGTTATAATATAAAAAATAACATTTTTAATAGAAAATTATATTCATTTTGCATGAATGTGATTTTTGAGTTTGCATCTTCTTTACAAGTTGGGGTAATCCTGGGGCTAATATTATTGCTCAAAGCTGCATGCATACTTTCAATCAATTCCTGGATTTGTTTTTAATTACCAGCAAAGCAGAAAACCCTTGTTCGCATAAATAAGTTGTGGAGAAGAGCATAAGATAGCACAAGGCAGTTCCTCAAAATTTAGTATAAAAAATAAAAAATGTGTGCGACTGACTGGGTGGTGTGAGTACGTGATGTCAATCGCTTACCCTCCCCCGGCCTCCTGATCTTGCCTGATGTTCTATTCACTGACATCGCCCGTGTAGCAACGGATTAATTAAAATGAATAAAGGTTTAAAATTTTAAATGTTTCACGGACCATATTTTAATTCTTGTGGACCATCCACTGCTTTGAGTGAATTGTAAACACAGAGCAAATGTTGGAGCAAGCATTTGAAATAGTGAGCTAATTTCATCTTGATTTATTATGGTTTGAATACTGTTAAGTTATACTTGGTTGGAAAAAGATTATTATTATTATTATTATTATTATTATTATTATTATTATTATGTGCTTTTGCTTAAAAAATCAAGGCAGCTCTTTAAATATGCTATTCTGCATTAGCCCAGGAGAACATCAATGGTCACATGCAGCCTATTTCCCAAGTTATGTGACAGCCTCAGGTCTCTTAGTAAACAGCTGGGATTTGTTGACTTGGGAGCTTCAATCCCTGTTTGAAGTTTGCCCATTTGCCGGAACCATGTGACTTTATTGTTGACAAGGTATGGGGCTAGGAAATGAGTTCATAGGTCTGTGCTGCCTACGCAAGAATTAATCTGGCTCCTTTACATCTATATTTTAACAACCTGTATGTATGCTGTTCTACATTTTAGAAAACTACATACTTGTCTCCTAAGCATGCATTTTAACACAAAATACAAGGAGCGCCAAGCGATTCAAAGTACTTCTCTAGTTTTAGTATTGATTCTTTTTTTATTAACATGCCTTGTACTTTGATTCAAGGCCACATTCCTCCTGTGTTCTTGGCCGACAGTATTGTTCAGAGCCTTGTGTGCGTATTTTCCATGCAACCGTGTATTACAAATCTGGCCAGACGTTGTCAGAACACATCCCAGCTCATTGGCTCATTTTTTTTTTTGCCTCTACTCCTATGTAGGTGGCATGGATGTGACATGGTCTACTCTTCATAATAATAAGTCAGATTTTCTGGTTTCTTTGGTGAGAAGAAATACATACACAAAAGAAGTCAGACCAGCCTAGTGGTAATTCTATAGCAGCATTGTTTTTTTCTATCCCTTGAAGAATATTGAATTTACCCTGTAAACCCTGGCTCTGTTAAACCACTGTTTTTTATCCTGAACTGTGCAAACATGTTGACAGGAGAGCACTTTTGCTTGACTCATGCTCCCTATCTTATATTTTATGGCACCTGAGTTTGAAGGCCACTCCACACACCTGCATTTCATTTCTGTAGGATCATAAAACCAAGGGCATGTTAAGCAAAGTCAAAGAGAATATTTTTCCATCAACTTTTTAGAAGGACTATTTTAGAGATTTAATTTATCAAACCACTAAACCAGGGGTCCTCAAACTAAGGCCCGAGGGCCTCCAAGGTCATTTACCTGGCCCTCACTCAGGGTCAACCTAAGTCTGAAATGACTTGAAAGCACACAACAAAAACAATCTTATCTCATCAGCCAAAAGCAGGCCCACACTTCCCATTGAAATACTAATAAGTTTATATTTGTTAAAATTGTGCATTTTAATTATTGTATTGTTTTTAAGTGTTCTTGCACTACAAATAAGGTATGTGCAGTGTTCATAGAAATTCATTCTTTTTTTTCCAAATTATAATCCGGCCCTCCAACAGTTTGAGGGACTGTGACCTGGTTCTCTGTTTAAAAAGTTTGAGGACCCCTGCACGAAGCGTTGCTATGCAGTTTTGCTTCTGCTGAATATATATACCTGGTTCACTTTCTTAAACTTTCGGCTTTACTAATATCAAATCCATCTGCTTCTTTTTCTACTGAGCAAGAAACTTCTCTGCTTTGCTCAAGATTGGAGACAGATCCAGGTCATATTTGGATTTTATAGTTTTAGAACATGGGGAACAGCCCACTGTACGTTTCTTGTCCTAGCAATCCTAGGCGTAAATTGTAAGCTGCTTAAGAATTAATGGGACCAAGCTCTACCCTCTCCTTTTGTACTCCATCTTAAGTCTAAGTCACTCGCTACTGAATGCAGACTTTGTGCCTTCAGCATCAGATCAGCCTCCTCTACCTCTCTCATTTGCTTAATAAAGCATTCTGGAGAAATCCAGAGCTCTTCTCGCTGTTCTGTGACATTTTGACTGGTTCCAATAAAAATATTCCCTAGCTGTATTTCAGGATCATTCTTCATGAGCTCTGGGTTCAGGGTTACTGCCCATGGTAAATTTTGATGTGTAGGCCCTTGTTGCGACAGCCTTTAGCACCCCCAAGGAAAGTTCAGAAATGACACCCCCAAGGAAAGTTCAAAAATGCAGTTTAATCATATCAGCCAACTATTTTAGCAGATTATATCTTCATTATAGAATTGCATTAGAGGGCCTTGGGATTCCTGGGGATCACTAAGTTCTCCAGTGTCATTCTATGGTTCCCAACCTTTTCTTGAGCAGGGACCACTTTGACCAGGGACTACTCTCCAACATTCGTACCAAAAGGGTTACAAATCAGTTTTTGGTCAACTTTGGATTTATTTATTTATTTATTTGCTGCGCTTATATACCGCTGTTCTCAGCCCGGGGGCGACTCACAGAGGTGTACAACATAGAGAGGACAGGGTGCAAATTACAAGACACAATCTAAAATCAATCCGGCATTAACAAAAGCATCGTCATCAGTTTGGTTATTTGGGGGTGCTGATTCAGAAAATTGCATTGGATAGATCACATCACCTCTAGTTTCTGATACAGAACATATACCATCCAGTAGTTGCCATCTTCTCACTCACAGAAAACCATATTTAATAATCTAGACCTGAAGTGGTCTATCCAATGCAATTTTCTGAATCAAATAACCCCAGGAACAGGCCTAAAAATAAAGACACCAAGGTGTCCCCACTTCCAGGCCCTACATAGAATGGCTCCACTCAGGGGGAGGGGGAGGGAGGGGGAGGGGGAGAAACTGTAGTCAGGAGGCTTGTTGTTGCACCTTTTGTGGGTAGTCAGCCTCTCCCCTCCCAACATCCCCGTTGCCTCGGCACTATAAGAGGGTTTTATGAGACCAGTCACTCTTGTTGCAATGGTATAGTAAAGGTGAGGTCACGGACCATATTTTAGTTTTGGGGTACCACTGGTGGTCCGTGCACCACAGGTTGGAAACCACTGGTCTAGAGGATATAGAGCAAACATATTAATCAAATCTGCAAAAGTTAAACCTGCAAATTTTGAAGGCCAACTGTATTAAATTTCTGTATTACATTTCTGCTTGCCACAATAATGCCATGGCTTTTTCTGGCTTTCAGATTTCTTCAGAGGCCCAGTGGTGCCCAGTGTACGCCTGGCAGGCTTAGAGCATGTTCTTCATTTCACTGCCGTGGACCAAAAAATCTTCCTGAGGAGTTACAAGTAAGTCTGTGTGATGGTTGGTTTTATGTCTCTGTATGGAGCAGTAATTTGTTTACTAAGGATTGAATTGTGTGACGTGTTCTTCTCAGATTAGATTACAGTGTGTTATGGGAGGGACCACCCTGAAAGAAAAACTCCACACATTTGTGGTTAGGCAATCTACCAAAATCTCATACCTTAGTTTAAACAGAGAATGATTAATATTTTAATTACGTTTGTTTTTCCTTTGAGCAATATAAATAAAATAGGGGATGGAAAAGGCGTAAGATCAGAGTTGGTACATTATGATGTATAAACTTTGATTAATATCAACGAAGTATATTTTGGCACCTTACCAAGGAATAAGCTTTATTTTGAGTTGTGTTGCATGGACTTCAGCAGATAAGTGGAGTGTTGGCTCAGTGGTTAGGTTATATATGTGTGGGTGGATGGGGGAGTGGTCGGGGAATATAATCAGTAAGAGGAACTTGTCATGTTAAAAAATGTGAACTTTTTTGTCATTTTAAGAGTATTGTTGAAAAAATCAGGCTGCAAAATACCAAGGATTGAACTTGAAGATATGGGGCCCTCAATAGACTTGGTGATGAGGAGGACACACTTGGCATCAGATGACCTTTATAAATTAGCTTTAAAGCAGCCAAAAGCTCTTAAGGTATGTAGACAGATATTATCTTGAAGATTTGCCCTAAATGTATAGGCCAGACTGGCTATCTCTCCTTGTCATATTAACAGTCCACTCAGTATTTCAGTGATTGTTTCACTCTGGCACTTGGATTGCTAATTTAAGACTCCCAGTTTTATCCACAGGCATCGCTGTGTTTTGTGAATTTTAAAAATGTTATTATGTGACATTTCATGTATGGTTGCAGTTGCATATTTATATTGTGATAGCGTTTATGATTATGCATTGTTTATTTTATGTTTAACACTGGTAGTATTTCTGTGAGCTGCCCGAGTCCCTTCGGGGAGATTTATTTTTATTTATCGTATCAGTAGCGAACCAAGGGTACAGTTGTAATGTATTTTAAAAAACACAAAGTTTAGAAACATTTCATTATATTAAATGTCCTTTGACCAGTAGTTGTCCTCTTGGAGTGCCTCTGGTGTTGCTATAAGAAGGTCCTCCATTGTGCATGTTGCAGGGCTCAGACTGCATTGTAATAGGTTCTCTTCCACTCACATGTCATGCACTCCACTTTGTGGGCCCATTTCTTAAGGTTGGCTGATTGGAGACTTGGTGCATTTCTCCAGTGCTCCCTTCATTTTCCCCACTGATCAAGGTTTTGTGCTTCATTTTTGGATTTTTGATGCAGCTACTCTTTGTCCACCCCTGTTCTAGAGAACTGAATGGTGCCTTCTTATATTTCTAGCCAAAGAAGAAGAAAAATATCTCCCATGATGTTTTCGGTACAAAATACGGGCGGATCCACATGCAGAAACAAGATCTAAATAAACTGCAGACACGAAAAATGAAAGGTTTGAGGAAAAGACCAAATGAAAAGAAGACTGAAAGCGAAGAGAATCCAAAGAAACCAAAACTGACTGGACTGGACAATTGAGTTGCCTCATACTAGATTTTAACTCACGAGCTTGTAATACTTTTTAATTACAAAAAGTTAGGATGTTTTTTCAAAGAAGGAAATGTCTATGAATTGGTTAATATTCTGGGATTTTATTTTATTTTTGAATACGTACAAATCACTTCTGTAACGGTTTCCAGTCAATTACCTCCTCTCTTCTTCATTCTTTTCTCAGTCCTTTTTGTTAACTTTTCAAAATGTGGTGTCTGTTTTAAAAACTGATGTATGGCTATTGACATAAGTGTTTTGGAATTATTATTATTTTAAATTATCAAATACTTAACTTTGCCTGTGGGAGAATAGTGACCTGTTTTCTTGGGGAAAACAATTAAATTTATTCAAACCGCTTAATAAAAGAATCAGGAAATTGGCTCACGTTTAACTCACAATGGTTACATAGATTAAAAAAACTCACTATGAACAAGCTGTTTCATATTTCTTTGGCCTCTTTCAGTCAGATTTGGTGGCAGTGGTTCTAAGTGATCAATTCTTTCTCTGTTCCCTACTTTTTCTACGTTCCAGTGGTGTGTTGCATTGTTTCTTAACTGGATTCAGTCTGCTCATTTTACTTCAAACAAATCACCAGTTTAACTTCAGGCATTACAGAGAAAAGCAACTACTTCTAAATGTCATTTTTCCAGACTGAGGCACCAGTCGATTTTTTGTGTTTCTTGTCTTTTGTTAACATTAATATACAGATTGCATATCCTTTATCCAAAATACTTGTTTCAAATTTTGGATTTCATTGGATTTGGGTCTATGTTGTTGTTGTTCATTCGTTCAGTCGTCTCCGACTCTTCGTGACCTCATGGACCAGCCCACGCCAGAGCTCCCTGTCGGCCGTTACCACCCCCAGCTCCCTCAAAGTCAGTCCAGTCACTTCAAGGATGCCATCCATCCATCTTGCCCTTGGTCAGCCCCTCTTCCTTTTGCCTTCCACTTTCCCCAGCATAATTGTCTTCTCTAGGCTTTCCTGTCTCCTCATGATGTGGCCAAAGTACTTCAACTTTGTCTCTAGTATCTTTCCCTCCAGTGAGCAGTCAGGCTTTATTTCCTGGAGGATGGACTGGTTGGATCTTCTCGCAGTCCAAGGCACTCTCAGAACTTTCCTCCAACACCACAGCTCAAAAGCATCGATCTTCCTTCGCTCAGCCTTCCCTAAGGTCCAGCTCTCACATCCGTAGGTTACTACAGGGAATACCATGGCTTTGACTAGGCGAATCTTTGTTGCCATTCTGATGTCTCTACTCTTTACTATTTTATCGAGATTGGACATTGCTCTCCTCCCAAGAAGTAAGCGTCTTCTGATTTCCTGGCTACAGTCTGCATCTGCAGTAATCTTTGCACCTAGAAATACAAAGTCTGTCACGGCCTCCACGGTTTCTCCCTCTATTTTCCAGTTGTCAATCATTCTTGTTGCCATAATCTTGTTTTTTTTGACGTTTAGCTGCAACCCGGCTTTTGCGCTTTCTTCTTTCACCTTGATTAGAAGGCTCCTCAGCTCCTCCTCGCTTTCGGCCATCAGAGTGGTGTCATCTGCACATCTGAGGTTGTTAATGTTTCTTCCAGCAATTTTCACCCCAGCTTTGCATTCATCCAGCCCCGCACATCGCATGATGTGTTCTGCATACAAGTTAAAAAGGTTGGGTGAGAGGATGCAGCCTTGCCGTACGCCTTTCCCAATCTTGAACCAGTCTGTTGTTCCATGGTCAGTTCTTACTGTTGCTACTTGGTCCTTGTACAGATTCCTCAGGAGAGAGACAAGGTGGCTTGGGATGCCCATCCCACTAAGAACTTGCCACAATTTATTATGATCCACACAGTCAAAGGCTTTAGAATAGTCAATGAAGCAGAAGTAGATGTTTTTCTGAAACTCCCTGCCTTTCTCCATTATCCAGCGGATATTGGCAATTTAGTCTCTCGTTCCTCTACCTTTTCTAAACCCAGCTTGAACATCTGGCAACTCTCGCTCCATGTATTGCTGGAGTCTTCCTTGCAGGATCTTGAGCATTACCTTACTGGCATGAGAAATAAGGGCCACTGTACGGAAGTTTGAGCAGTCTTTCGCATTTCCCTTTTTTGGTATGGGGATATAAGTTGATTTTTTCCAGTCTGATGGCCATTCTTGTGTTTTCCATATTTGCTGGCAAATGGCATGCATCACCTTTGACAGCATCATCTTTTAAGATTTTAAACAGTTCAGCTGGGATCCCATCATCTCCCTGCTGCCTTGTTGTTAGCAATGCTTCTTAAGGCCCATTCAACCTCACTCCTCAGGATGTCTGGTTCTAATTCATTCACCACACCGTCAAACTATCCTCAATATTATAACCTTCCTATACAGATCTTCTGTATAGTCTCGCCACCTTCTCTTGATCTCTTCAGCTTCTGTTAGGTCCCTGCCATCTTTGTTTCTTATCATACCAATTTTTGCCTGAAATTTACCTCCAATGTTTCTAATTTTCTGGAAGAGGTCTCTTGTCCTTCCTATTCTGTTGTCTTCTTCAGCTTCCATGCATTCCTTATTTAAAAATAGTTCCTTATCTCTTCTGGCTAACCTCTGGAATTGCGCATTTAACTGGGCATATCTCCCCTTATCCCTGTTTCCTTTTGCTTTCCTCCTTTCTTGGGCTACTTCCAGTGTCTCAGCAGACAACCATTTTGCCTTCTTGGTTTTCTTTTTCTTTGGGACGTACTTTGTTGCCGCCTCCTGAACAATGTCTCGGACTTCTGTCCATAGTTCTTCTGGGACTCTGTTTACTAAATCTAGTCCTTCAAATCTGTTCTTCACTTCCACTGTATATTCTCTAGGAATGTTAGTGAGATCATATCTAACTGGTCTGTGTATTTTCCCTGATCTCTTTAGTTTTATTCTAAATTGGGCAATAAGAAGTTCGTGATCTGAGCTACAGTCAGCCCCAGGTCTTGTTTTCACCGACTGTATGGATGTCCGCCACCTTTGGCTGCAAAGGATGTAGTCAATCTGATTTCGGTGTTGACCGTCTGGTGAGGTCCATGTGTAAAGCCGTCTTTTAGGTTGTTGGAAGAGAGTATTCGTTATACACAGCGAGTTTTCCTGGCAAAATTCTATCAGCCTTCGTCCCGCTTCATTTTGTTCTCCCAGACCATGCTTGCCTGTGATCCCAGTTGTCATTTGACTTCCCACCTTGGCATTCCAGTCTCCTGTAATGAAAATAATGTCTCTTTTTGGTGTATTATCCAGTAGGTCCTGCAGATCCTCATAGAACTGATCTACTTCTGCTTCTTCAGCAGCTGTGGTTGGGGCGTATATTTGGATCACTGTGATGTTGAAAGGCTTTCCTTGCACTCGAATTGAGATCATTCTGTCATTTTTTGGGTTGTATCCAAGCACCGCTTTAGCGAATTTCTTATTAATTATGAAGGCTACTCCATTTCTTCGATGTTCCTCTTGTCCGCCGTAGTAGATCTGGTGGTCATCTGATGTGAAGTGGCCCATTCCAGTCCATTTCAGTTCGCTGACCCCCAGAATGTCTATCTTTAGTCTTGACATCTCGCCAATAACAACATCCAATTTGCCCTGGCTCATAGATCTTACATTCCAGGTTCCTATGGTGTGTTGATCTATGTACATACTGAGATATCTTGGAGATGGGTCTAAACACGAACATTAATTTATGTCTCATATACACTTTAGGAGCCCCTGGTGGTGCAGTGAACTTGCTGACCAAAAAGTTAGTGGTTCATATCCGGGGAGCAAGGTGAGCTCCCGCTGTTAACCCCACCTTCTGCCAACTCAGCAGTTAGAAAACATGCAAATGTGAGTAGATCAACAGGTACCATTTATTCAGGAAGGTAATGGTGCTCCACGCAGTCATGCTGGCCACATGACCTTGGAGATGTCTACGGACAACTCCTGCTCTTCAGCTTAGAAATAGAAATGAGCATGACTCCCCAAAGTCAGACTCGACTAGACTTAATGTCAAGGGGAAATTTTTACCTTTACTTTATACACCTTATATACATAGTCTGAAGGTAATTTCATAAAATGGTTATAATAATTATTTGCACAAAATAATATCTGTACATGTTGAACCATCACAAAAGCAAGAGTGTCACTATCTCAGCCACCCTATGTGGACTGTGTCAAATTTGGGGGAATTTCAGAATTCCAGACAAAAATGCTCAACCAGAACGACAACATATGTTTTTATGGATTCTCAGGTCCATTTTGTCATGTCTATGTTGGTCATTTGAATTGCCAAGAAATGTTCACTGTCGATGCTAATGACATGCTTATACATGCCAAGCAAATAACTATGTTGCCTTTATTTTAGAGAGCACAGTTAATATTAGATTAGATCAGGTGTGTGTAACTGAACAGGGTCAGAACAGACATAGTGAATCAATAGTTTGAAATGTCAGAGTAATTGTGTTCTGTAGGGAAGCAGCACTTCCATTTTAAAGAGTTTAATTATATCAAATGGAATATCATTTGATATCTTCATGAGTCAGTCCTTTGAAACTTGTTCAGAGTTTTTAAAAAACGTTTTTAGAACTTTTTAGAAGGAAGTAATTGATTGTCCAGAACATTCTGTGACAAAACACAAAGTAACCAGAGTTCAGCAAAGCTGTTTTGAAGGGAGTTTCCAGAGAAAAGAGGCAGAGTTTAAACTTATTGGCAGAAGTGATAGTTTGAAACGTGGATCCAATCAAAATTTGGAGGAGACTATCTCACTTTAAGAGAGAACAGTCTCAGAGATAAAGTGATCTCTGCCACGTCACTTTTTTGAGTAGCAGTCTTACTTGAACAGCAAGTGCCTAATTTTCACCTATTTAATAAAGATTTCTTCAAAAGGCATATTAATACAACTCAAAGAATGTAGAGAAACCATAATAACTTTGTGTTGTCGAAGGCTTTAATGGCCAGAATCACGGTTGCTGTGAGGTTTCTGGGCTGTACGGCCATATTCCAGAAGCATTCTCTTCTGACCTTTTGCCCACATCTATGGCAGGCATCCTCAGAGCTTGTAAGGTCTGTTGGAAACTAGGCAAGTGAGGTTTATATCTGTGGAATAATGTCTACGGTGGGAGAAAGAACTTTTGTCTGAGGCAAGTGTGAATGTTACAATTAGCCACCTTGATTGGCATTTAATGGTCTTGCAGTTTCAAAGCCTGGCTAGTTGCTGCCTGGGAGATCCTTTGTTGGGAGGTGTTAGCTGGCCTTGATTGGCTACCAGTGTTAAAAAAACTAAAATCACAACAGTAAATAACAAGCAACACTAAAAAAAAACGGGAACTCCAGACAAGAATCAATCAGGGCCAGTTAACACCTCCCAACAAAGGATACCACCAAGCAGCAACCAGCCAGGTTTTGAAGCCCATAATGTCATTTC